GATGGACCCTGATAGATGGATCCTGATAGATGGATCCTGATAGATGGACCCTGATAGATGGACCCTGATAGATGGATCCTGATAGATGGACCCTGATAGATGGATCCTGATAGATGGACCCTGATAGATGGACCCTGATAGATGGATCCTGATAGATAGACCCTGATAGGTGGACCCTGGTATGTGGACCCTGATAGATGGATCCTGATAGATGGATCCTGATGGATGGACCCTGATAAATGAATCCTGATAGCTGGATCCTGATAGATGGACCCTGATAGATAGATCCTGATAGGTGGACCCTGATGGATGGACCCTGATAGATGGACCCTGATAGATGGATCCCGATAGATGGATCCCGATAGATGGACCCTGATAGATAGAGCCTGATGGATGGACCCTGATGGATAGATCCTGATAGATGGACCCTGATGGATGGATCCTGACAGATGGACCCTGACAGATGGATCCTGACAGATGGACCCTGATAGATGGACCCTGATAGATGGATCCTGATAGATGGATCCTGATAGATAGACCCTGATAGGTGGACCCTGGTATGTGGACCCTGATAGATGGATCCTGATAGATGGATCCTAATGGATGGACCCTGATAGATGAATCCTGATAGATGGATCCTGATAGATGGACCCTGATAGATAGATCCTGATAGGTGGACCCTGATGGATGGACCCTGATAGATGGACCCCGACAGATGGACCCCGACAGATGGATCCCGACAGATTCACCCCGACAGATGGACCCCGACAGATGGACCCCGACAGATGGACCCCGACAGATGGATCCCGATAGATGGACCCCGATAGATGGATCCTGATAGATGGATCCTGATAGAATAGGAGAAAAATGTGGAACAGAACCACATATTCCTAAACAAACAAAAACAGACCTACTGGGCTGGCTGAGACTGGAGGTCTCCCTGAGACTATGGCCGAGACTCCTCAAACCTTAAACGGAAACTACCCCTGAGGTCACCCTGCAGCTAAATAACAAATTGGCTCAAAAAATAATGAATATCGTCCATGAGTATTGTGCTGTTTTAAAAAATCACCTATATGAGACCAAA